CTTTTTTCGAGTATTCATTAAAATGATGTAATTTTTATTTAGATTTATGGAAATAGATAAATTTTTAGAAAAAATTACACGTAAGTTAAATTATACTATTTTAATTTTTTTAAGTTTTTGAAGAAATTATATTATCAAATATGACTTTTAAGTTTATATTATAATAATGATGATTATAAAAAAAAAAAAAAAAAAAAAGATTTCTACTTGTACATGATAAGAGCATAAACGACAGTGGATGCTGGTACATGTTATAGATTAGAATCTTTTCTTAAAATCATTAGAGTGTGCAGTACAGAACGTCACAAACCTGTGAAATTCAGCCACTTATGGTCATTGTTGATGATGGCCCCCCTCTTCTTTCCTGCTACTCTACCCTCACCTTTGTCCACATTTCTTTGTACTCTACTTCCATTTCTTCACACACTTTCCAATCACACATGTTATTTTAGTTTAAATATAAAATTATTTTCAACTTTTCAAAACTACTATATACTATTTTTTTTTTGTCTGATATTTTTAGAACATTGAGATTAAACATTAAACATTATTCATTTTTATTATTATTGGCTTTTCTCACAAATGTTTTGCATGCTCTGGAAGATAGTGGAATTAATTTTTCAACACAATCTAAATTAATTACATGGATTAAAAATGGGTGGCTTTATTTTAAGTTCTAATGGACAAGCTGACACTATTGGATATTTTCGCAATAATTTTAAAATATGTTTATGAATTGTTGATTTTTTTTATTTAATATAACATTTTAAATCAAAATTAAACTTTTTCAATAATTTAATTTTTTTTTATTTATGATTAATTGATAGAGATTAATTTTAATATATATATATATATATATATATATATATATATAACTTTTGAATTGAAAATATAAAATAGGTTTGAAACATTTTTTCCTATAAAATTTTTATAGAAGAAAAAAATATAAAAAAGAGAAAATAAAATAATTTTTATAAAATAAATAAAATTTTACATGTTTAAAAATAAAAATTTAAAGAAATTTTTACCATTAATTAACATATAAATTAATTATCACTTAATTTTGGAAATAAAGTTTTCCTAATATTATTTCATTTGAATTATGCTTAAATGCTTTTTATAGACACTAATACAAAATAGATAAAAAAAACAGTATTAAATTATATTTATACATCAATATCATGGTTGAAAATAACACACTGATCATTTTAAAACAATTATTTTATCACAATTATTGTCGTATGATTAATTTTTTAATGATAATTTTTTTATAATCGCTATCGTATATCACCACGAAGACAGTTATATATAGAACTATTATCATATATCTAATTAAACTTTTCAATTTCGTATATTATGATGATTTTGTTTTAAGTCCCCACTTTTGTTTTTTTTCTTTTCTCATTCTTTCTTCCTCCGTCACAACTTTTCTTTTTGTCCTTTGTTCATCGTAATTTACCTTTTTTTTTTTTCTTTTTTCTCTTCAAAGTATTTCTCTCTTGTAAATTTTCAACACACTCAAAGTTATTATCTTCTACACACTCAAAGTTATCATAAAGAGAAATAATGAAAGACAATATTTGACTGATACAAATATAAAGGATAACATTTTGTTAAATGCATTAAAACTATGTTAGTAGAACAACAAAGAACAAATAATTAAATTTATTATGGTATAACGATTTATTATTTCTTATGATAGAATTTTAGGTTTGCTGCTTAGTAGGTTTATTCTGACAAAATTTATAATTTATTTGGATGAAGTAAAATAAGAATTTTAATACATAATATTTGATGATATTATATAGATAAAAATGTAGTTTTAAAATCGTCCTTATTATTGTAAAATAACTTAATATTAATAAATTTATCTTAATTTTGTTTATGCACAAATATACAGATAATAATAAAAGTTCTTTGATTTAATTAAAAGTGTGTCCTAATTTTTTTATATTTCCTTTATCTCTCTGTTTATTAGTTTAAACGAAATTAATTAATTTTCAATGGGTATAATTACTAAAACACAATTAAACTGTTTTAAACTTTAAAATATGTCATATGAAAAAAATGAAATGTTTACAATAATTTGTAACAGATTAAAAAGAATGAGAGAATATATAAGGCAATTTGGGGGTGAAATATGTCACTGTATCTTACAAACATCACAGACAATATATTTCCAAGATAGAAAAATTTATAACTATCTAGTAGTCAAAAATAATTTTATACTAACCAAAAGTGGTTGTTAAAATTCTATATGCAAAAAACAAGTTGTTAAAATATTGATTAATGAAATTTTATTAGCACAGAGGAGAGGCAGTAAGTGGTTGTGAAAATATTTATTTAATAAGATTATTTTATTAGTATAGAACACAATGTGAAATAACAGGAATATAATAAGAAATATGTTAATTAATCCGAAACTAGTGAGCATTTTAAGGAATGATCACATGGTGATTGTTATTAAAAGTTTGGGGTCAATTGAAGCTGGACCCGAAAGCGATGGCATAGTATCGCAAAGGTGACGCTGCAGGGTAAGCTTTCCGACACAACCAGATGGTCCATTGGCCCACGTGTCACTTATCTGCGCGTGTCATTCTGATAGCTGTGGCTGGGAATGTGCGAACCACACCCATCTTAATTCTTAAACCCCATTCCATGTTGGGCTTTCACCACCTTCTATCATGTTGCAAAACCTACCTCCACGTGCCTCAAATCAAATGCTACAGTTTTGGGTCAAACACTTCCATCGCTGTGTACATGCATGTCCCTTCACTAACGTAGTAGTAGTTACGAGGAATTACTATCAATTTTTTCTCTTTTTCCTTTGTTTCGTGTAGTTGGGTGAAGGAACAAATTCATTGGAAATGCCATAATACCATTGTATATAGTACTGCTTTTTAAGTAACCTTATTTCTTTTCTGGTTTAAGTTGGTGGTAAAAGATTCCTAGGAAAATATCACCATAATAACAACTAATGGTTAACTTAATCGTACGTACGCTTTATGTACTTTCCTAGCGACAATAGCATTGTAATTATCTAATTCAATTAACATATTAGAGCACTAAAGTGTTTCCAACTTCTTCAGAGTTGTAACCCAGACAATGGAACAAGAAACGACAGGATATGAACACAAAATTAAAGTAAAACTATAGTGAAATTATTAAGACACAAGAAACCAACGTAACATTTATTATATTAATACATTCGTCAGAGCTCCTCAAAATATATATATTCAAGTTAAATGTAATCTTAATTTCAAAATATGTGTAGTGTATGACCACCTATGATCTTTATCTTTATGCATTGCTATCTAGTTCTTCATTTTTTTTATTAAATAAAAGAATGCATATGATTATATTATGGTTGGAGGTTTAACTTTTTGTTGGTGAGGAAATAGTGTAAATGTTTTTTCTCTAAACAAAAGGACACATGCAGAGTTGAAAATGCACATGCTGTGTTTAATGAAATTAAATCAAAACCCTTGCAATTAGTGCGGGTAATCCTCTTTAAAAAGTGTTTTTGTCTTTGGCTTATGCTTAATGTTCTGGCACAGGGTTTACAAAATACGTGGTCACTGGAGGGGCACATTGTCCCAGCGTTGGAGAAAGTAATAATTTACCGCATCTATGATCCATCACGTGCTTTGCACGACATCCATGGAGAACAGACAAAACGGATTCATTTACTCCCTTTTCTTTTTCTTAATCAGAAATGAGCAATGGGTGATGAGTTGAAGATTCTTGATAATAATGAAAATACTAACTTGTTATAAAAGGTTAGCAATTATGAGATTGAGGACTTTGATCGTAGATTGTCCAACCAAATGTGCCATCCGTGGGGAAAGTTGAACTTCTTAAAGCTCTTTATCTGTGGTCCTAACTATTATTAATCATCCTAAATCCTGTGACAATAATTACCATAGCACTCAGTTTCCATAGGTCAAGGTTTGGTCTCTTCATCCAATGCTTTCGTCTTTTGACAACTGACATGCATTTTAATACTTCTTATCCTACACTATTTTTTTCACAGTCTTCATTCATTCTAATGACACCCCACCACCCATGCACACGCGCACAAAATGTTGTGTTGTGGGAAATGGCAGTCCGCACAATTTGATCTGCCTATTGTAATCTTCTCTCAACTTGCAAATTAGGGGATGATGGGGCATTTAATTCTGAGGCTGATCCAATAAGCGTGCGCACTCAATAGAGGGACACGGGGCTGTGAGACCTACGATTGTCCTAGTTCAAGTGGCTTACCTGTTCCTTTTTTGTTTTTAACAGGAAAAATCCATAATAAAATGGGATGTGAAAGTAGCAGAGAGAGAAAGATGATAAATACAGTCAGACAGAGTATTGACCCCTGATTTGTTGTGCTCAATTAGGCCAAAATTATTTATGGCCAGATGAAGTGAAAATAGTGGGGTGATACTTTTCCTAGAGGATAAACTAGCAAACAAAACAAGCAGGGTCAGAAGTCTCAGAACAATTTGGGGGAGGGAGTGGAGGGTTTAAATTGGTTATTCAAGTAAATTGACGTTAGAGTAGTTTTAGAGACATGTTTTGACAGATGATATCGCAAATGGGAGCAAAAGTTGCAGTTGATCAAATGGGGGATAACAAATCAAGCGGTCTAAAGAAAGGGCCAAATGATCCTCCACTTAGTCGCCATCACTGGGGTAGCAGATTAAACAGAACCTTTTCAGGATTACATCTGAATGAGAAAAGTGCTTCGAAAATTCTAAGCAAACACAGATGGTAACAACTGAAGCTGTTTATATACAAGTTAAACAACTTTTTTCTTATGTATAAAATAACAAGACTACATACATCAAAAGCATTCATTCCCCTTTTACCCGTTTCCCTTGTGTCTGAAATAATTTGAAGCGGCAAAGAAGGAAAAAACTTTGAGAGGAGCTGAATCCGTCGTCATCTCCTCCTACTCTCTTCTGTCTGTTTCCCAAAGAATCCACATGACACTTCCCGGAATTTGATGCTTAATGCTTGCTCAATTCAGGGGCTTCTTTAATGCTCATCTCCACCATTTCTATGGCATTGAAACCTTCATCTTCGGTGGCTATCGTTGACTGAGAATCGATTCCAGATCCCGCCTGAATCTCCTTGAACATTGCCATTACTTGAATCATCGTGGGACGCTTCCATTGCCGATCATCCAAGCAGGAGCACGCAATCTTAAGGTGTTGCAAAAGCTCCATCTCCAGATTAGGGTCTTCCTTCATGAGCTCCGGGTCAAAAATATCACTTATTTTCAGCTTCGCGTGTTGTTTAACCCATCCAACAAGATTATTGTCACCAAAATCAGCCGAGTCCGTTGGCCTTTTCCCAGTTAGCAGCTCAAGCAAAACTACTCCGTAACTGTAGACATCACCTTTGGTGGAGCATCTGAAGCTCTGATAGTACTCGGGAGGGACATACCCTGGGGTGCCCGCCAGTGTGCTCACACTCAAATGAGTATCCATAGCACTCATAAGCCTAGCCATCCCAAAATCAGACACCCTGGCTTCCAGGTTTTCATCAAGCAACACATTGCTCGACTTCATGTCTCTATGAATGATGTGAGGGATACAATTGTGGTGAAGAAAAGCCAATCCCCTGGCAGCTCCAATTGCAATTTTCCTCCTAATCGACCAGTTCAGCTTGATCCCAGCTTTCTTCTGATCATGCAGAACATCCTCTAAGCTCCCGTATTTCATATACTCATAAACCAAAAGCCTCTCCTCCCCAACCTTGCAGTATCCCAGCAAGGGAACAAGGTTCCTGTGCTTGATTTTCCCAATGGTCTCCATTTCAGCAGTGAACTCTCTGTCCCCTTGTCCGCTGACATGAATTAGCTTCTTGATGGCCACAACACTTCCGTCCTTCAACTGAGCCTTGTACACGTCCCCAAACCCACCAGAGCCAATGAGACTGTCGTTGTGAAAGCCATTGGTGGCATCAAGAAGGTCGGCGAAAGTAAGCTTCCGAAGGGGCTTCTCAAACGTTGCAAGATTTATGCTAAGCGCTTCACGGGTACTGGTGTGCTTCCAGCTCACATTGGCCGGACCCGAATGCGAAAGACCGTCCACGTAGGCCTCAAGAGCAGCCTCCTTCTTCTTCCGCCTCTTTCTGGTCTCAATGGCAATTATGATCAAACCAAAGATGCAGAAGAGGGAGAACAGCAACCCCATTGCAACACTCCCCGCCAGAGAAGCCTGCCTCCTGTGAGACTTCATATGCTGTGCACTCCCACTATTTGCCGGGTCGGACCCACACGGGGCAAGAGGAACTCCACAGAGACCAGAGTTGTTCTGAAACTTCGCCGCAGGGAAAGTATCAAACTGACCCGTCTCAGGAATAGTCCCCGAAAGCATGTTGTTGGACAAGTCAATCTCAGTGAGCAAGGAAAGCCCGGTAAGGGTCTGCGGGATTTGTCCTTCCAGTCTATTGTTCGAGAGATCAAGAATGTTGAGATTCTTTATCTTCCCAAGCTCCTGAGGAATGCTCCCAGATACATTATTGTGACCCAGATTGAGAATGGTCAAATAGTACATGGCCCCAATTTCTTTCGGAATACTCCCTGACAACATGTTGTGCGATATATCCAAAAATATCATAGAACCATTATGGTTAAACGTTGGCTGCAACTTACCCCCATAAACCCTAGTGAAATTGCAGGGATTCTTGGTAGAAATCCTGTTCAGCTGCTTCTGACTGATCCCCGCAAACTCCAGCAAGTTCCCAGCTCCATGGCACTCTTTACTCCCATCGTTCTTTATATACACATATGTCTTCCCACTGATGAAATTCACAGCTATCTTCCCTGATTGCTTGAACAGCTCAGGCGGAATGGGCCCAGTGAGTGAGTTAGTATTCAGATCCAACCATATCAGGCTAGTGCAATCGCCAAGCTCGGCCGGAATCCTGCCAGAGAAGGAATTATTGCTGAGCTTGAGTATGACCAGATTGGAAAGCTTCCCAATCCAGGCGGGTATCTGGCCACTGAGCCTGTTGTTGGAGAGTGAGATCCAATTGAGCTTGGTGCAGTTAACCAGGCCGGAGGGAATGTTCCCACTCAAGTCGTTGAAATCCAGGATAAGATTCTCGAGGCTATTGAGATACATCAGCTCCTGAGGAATCTCTCCATGGAGCTGGTTGAGCCAGATCATCAAGTCTCGAAGCTTGGAGAGAGACCCCAGACTTGGAGGGATGGTCCCCGAGAGGAAGTTGAAGCTCAAGTCCAAGGCAACGAGGTTGGAACAGTTGCTGAGCGTGGGCGGAATAAAACCCGTGAACTGATTATTCTGCAGGTAAAGTTCCTTTAAGTTATTCCCAGCATCTCCGCACAGCGTTCCAGGGATTGGCCCGCTGAAGTTGTTGGAACTCAGATCCAGCAATTCCAAACTAGAAAGCCTCGACAGCGACGTGGGGAAAGGACCGCCGAATTTGTTGAATGCCACCGCAAGCTCCTGCAAGCTGCTCATTTCAGTCAGAACCTCCATCGGCATCGCCCCGGAGAAGAGGTTGGTCGAGATGTCTAAGGATTGGAGCGAAGTGCAGGCACCAAAGGCGCGTGGGAGGACACCAGTGAGAGTGTTGGAAGAGAGATCCAGCTGGAGGAGAGTGGAGCAGAGGTCTGCGAGTGCAGGAGGAATCTGGCCACGAAAGTTGTTGGCTGCGAGGTACACAAACTGGAGAGAACCCAGGGGGAGGGAAGGAACCGAACCGAAGAACTGGTTACTGGAGACATTAAGGTAGACAAGTCTCTTGCAAGGGGAAAGAGTGCTTGCAATGTCGCCAAAATATTTGTTGGCAGAGAGGTCCAAGTATTCCAGTGAGGAACAGTCGCCCAAGGAAGGAATAGCCACAGAGAAGTTGTTGGAGGAAAGGTCCAAGTACTGCAGAGAAGTAGAACCCGAGAAATCCGTTTCTCCTGTGATTTTGTTACCTTTGAGCGCCAGGTGTTCGACATCGGGGTTGAGAAGCCACTGCACAACACCAGGACCAGAAATCTTGTTGTAGGAGAGGTCGGCGACACGGAGGTTGAGTTTCCAGTGTGAGGAGTCGAATTCCAGGAAGTTACTAGACAGGTTGAGAGATTGAAGGTTTGAACAGGAAGCTAAAAACGACATGTCGTTGAGGGAGCCGGAGAGGATGTTCTGGGACAGATCTATGGTGGTTAGGGAGGAGGCACACTTGGAATGCGAGAGAGGAACGGTGGCAGGACCAGTGAGGTTGGTGGATTTGAGGGAGAGGGATTGGAGGTGGTCGAGGGTGAGGAGGTAGGTGGCCACAATGGAAAGGTTGGTGCTGAGAGGGACGGAGCTGAGGTCTATGGAAGTGAGGTGGGTCTGGTTGCAGGTGACACCGGTGAAGGAACAGGGAGTTTGGTTGGGGAGCCAGTTGGGGAGGAGGGATGGGTTGGGGAGAGAGGCTTTGAAGCTAAGGAGTTGCTGGGTTGGGTCTCTGGTGGGAAGTGCAGAAGAAGCTCTGGCTAGAAAGTGGACGGTGAAGTAGAAAATGAGAAAGACAAGAAAGAGAGAGCTTCTGTACAGGGCTTTCATTTTGGCAAACAAAGAAGAGTGAGTGGTGGCCTGTATGTGTTCGTGTTTCCCTCGGAACGACGGTGGTTTGTGTTTAGGGTGTGAGGTCTGCCATGAGAGAGAGAGAGAGAGAGAGGTGAGAAGAGAGAAGAGAGAAGAAGGAAGGACGGTTGAGAAAGAGAGTGTGTGATATGAACAGTGGAGAGAGAGAGAGAGAGAAAGAAAGGGAGAGTCAAAAGTCGTAGTAAGGAAGGTAAGAAGGGTATTTATCAAGTGGAAGAGTGGACACAGCTGTTGTTGCTCACATGCCATGTGACGCTCTCTGTTCCTTAATTTCTTTAATCCCAAACTTCCTGTTTGTTTTCATCTATTCCCTTATTCCACTCTCTACACCTTCTATCTACACTCCCTTCTGACATCAGTTAAAATTATGAATCCTACCCCTCCTTGTTCTTTCCACAAACCAAAATGTATTAAATGAGAAACACAATTAGTTAAACACACAAAACCGCCTAATCATTTGTTCCCAGTACTGCTACTAATTAACATAATTGTTATCAAGATTCATTAATAGTAATATGATTTAACATTTATCCTATTTCCGCTTCCTTCATCTTTCTTTCAAATTTATTCTCCTTCTATAATTCTTTGTCGGAGAGCATTTGTTGTATCGTAATTATGTCACTTGTTTAAAGCTCAACATTAACGTTAATTTTTTTTATCGAAATAAATTATTTGATGTGATGTTCTTTAAGAAAGTTTTTTAAATAAATTATTTTCTTCATCTGGTTTGGATTGATAAAGTATTTTTTTCGGTTACAAAATTTAATGTAACTTAATTTAGAAATATTAATATTAGAATAAATTTGTGTGTGAAATCTTTAATTATATCAGCATCTTTACTATACTTGTTATCTCAAATTGAATGCAGTTTTAACTTTTAAACAATATTTTAATTGATTGATGGTCTTAATTTTTAATGGAATATTAATTTTCTTAATTGATTTACCCAAATAAATTATATTAATATTTTTAATTGTAGTATGTAAAATATTATATTTATTGAAAGAATTAACTATTTTATCCAATGACATGTTTATTATTATTACTGTTATTACCAATTTATTTATGTGTAAAAACTTTAAACTACAGTTATCATGTCATAAATGAAGGACTCTTTTATTCTATTTATAAGACTTATTTATTATCCAATTCATGAAATTAAGAAAAAAATATTTTTTCTTAAATTTATGTTTTTCATTTCTCTAATTAAACCCAGAAAAAAAAATACAAAATTATGCATTTAACTATCTCTTCAATATTATATAATTGATATGTAGATAAAACATTAATTAAAAAAAAATTTAATTTCCACTACTATGTGTAGTAATTTAATTTTTTTATTGTATTTCTTCAAAACATAACTACTTTTGATTTAATTCCTTGTTATGAGATAAATAAAAACGAAAGAGTACTAAAAAACAAGAAAAAAGAGAGAGTAAACAACAAAAATATTTATATTCTCAAATATGTAAACATATCTAAGATTTAGTTAGTCAATGATTTATGATTTTATCTTTTTTATTATATAAATAATAAATCTCCATTCATATTTCAAATAATATGCGAATCAAATTTGTAAGAAAGAAATTATGAAGAGATTTAATTCATAAAAAGAGTGTTAATCAAATAAATTTTGTTCCACTAATTATTTGTGTCATATTTAAAAAAATTCATTTAAATAAATTGAAGATATATGAAATGGTTAAAATAATTTATAATATATGGTGATTATATGTAATGCTGTTGTATGAAATAAGATTTGTATAAAGTGGGAGGGGTAGAAAAGGGATTGGATATAACAATTCCTGAAAATAAAGAAGAGACTAATCAGTTTTTACAGTTACTACTGGGTATCTTCTATAGGCAAAAGAAGAATCAAAAAGTGAATCTATGCTAACGACAACAAAATTTATCTCCTTCACTTCACTTTCACAACTTACTTCACTCTTACGTCCCTTCCTTCAGTAAGGTTTTACTATCCTCACCCAAGTTTCTGTCTTACCTTTTTATTCTGCCCCCAAATCCCACTCATCCAAACTTCCAGTAACTATTTTTTTTTCTTTTTAAATATTTTATCTTTTTTATTTTCTAAGTAGAAAATTTTTATTTTTCATTGTCTTCTCAGAAGCTCCTGGGACAAAATGAAGGGTGATGAAATAACAAACAAATTTTTTGACTCACTCTGTTGAAATGTGAAGGCATGAATGATTTCAAAAGTGGGTCTTCCTTGAGCATGAATAAATGGGCACTGAAAATGGAGAAAAAAGGTTTGGGTATTTAAAAAAAAACTCAAATTAATTAAAAAAAATTAATAATGATGATGATGGTGATGATTATGATGTGGAGGGACCTGAAGCTGCTATCAACACGTGCTACTGTCCAGTATGATTACGTGGCCAAATAACAGAATTCTATCCACCGTAGGTAGCTTTGACTGAATGGTTACCGACACGTTGGCCAACTTCACACTGTTACTCTCACCACCCTATTAACCTAGGTAGTTACATAATTAGTATAACACAACACACAAACCCGTTTTGTTGTGTTTTTTTTTTTTTTTTTACGGTGAAATTAATGAATATACATTCTATGCGTAATAATTGTGTTTGATGGTGTTAATTAATTGAGGTATGTGTGTTACAGGGAGCCAATTGAGAAGAGAAGGATGAATTATGAATGCTGGGTGAGATAGGGATAGAGAGGACATCACACGTGCACAAGCACGCGCATAAAATAATTGAAGAGTTAGAAGGTCCCACATGAAAGGACTAGGTGGGGCCACGTGGGTGGTGTTATTAGAAGAAGTAGTAAGAGCATGGTAAGGTTGTGTGTGTGTGACAGAGAGAGAGAGAGAAGAACATTGAAGGACGGAAAGGTTAGGGGTTAAGGACGTGCGTATTAGGTGAGGGTCTAAATCCTTAAAAGTTAATAAAAATAAATAAATAAAAGGAGATGTTAATGAAAGTTCTATGATTACTATGATCTAGTGCCTTTATCATGGTGTAGAGAGAGGAGAAGAAGAGAAAGAGTGGGTCTAGCCATCTTTTTGGTCTTTCTTTGCATCAAATAATAACAAGTACAAAAGAGAAATGAGAATGAAAATGAATGCCACACGAGAGCCATGACCTTTTGAGAGCGACCCTACCCAATTATTTTGGCAATGAACAACGTAAATGCCAGAGAGAGAGGGTGCTTATTAACTTGATTTCGGTTATATTACCAAGCCACCACTTGAATTAGCAACAATGGTACGTGATTAGAAATTTTTGACCCCTTTTTTTTCAATTTTGGTTTTTCCATAATGGGTCTCGTTTTGAAGTTGACCAAATGCTTTTTGTCCCCAGCGTAGGTGTTGAGGGAGTAAGGCGTAATATAATAAATAGCATTTGCAACATAGATACGATGATGGAGGAGGTTATGTGAAAAGTGATTAATTAAGCATGGTATGGTTGATATTAATTTTGGAATTTTGCACTTTTTCAGAGTCTTGGGAAGTTGTTTAATGCAAGTGTTAGAAGGTGCAACAAAAATTATGGTTGGTAAAGATGAATTGGATGGTGTAGAAGAGTAGAATTATAAGGTGGTCTCTAATAATTTGTATTTCCCACCGAATTGTTAGGCCAGGATGGCTTGGTCTCTCTTACGCACATAAATTCAATAAAGTGGGACCTCCTAGCAGCTGTCTTAGAACCTAAAATTTGGCATTTTTTGAGATCCTTTCTCGCAATTTTTTTCTTTATCATCATTCTTCCTATCCTACTCTTCTATATATTCCTACACAAATAACTTCTTATACTTTTGCAAAATTTAATTCAAACTTGTACAAATTTTAAATTCATCTTCCAATCACAAAACTAATGTTATACCGGTCATGCTTTCTCATTGCTTCACCATATAAAGTTTTTACACTTAATGGTGCATGATAATTAAAAAGAAAATGTGATTATTGAAAAACTACAGTAGTAAATAACTTAAGCAATAGGATGACAATTAAATCCGTCCCCGTGGGGACCGACCTGCCTCCGCCCCGAATTTGACGGAGAAAACCTGAGTTGACCGGGCGGGGCGGAGCGGATCGGGTTTTCCGCTTTAAAAGTCAGGCGGGCGGGGATGGGTACTGCAATCCCCACCCCGACCTCGACCTCATCCCCGTCCCGATTTTATATTTAAATTTAAATTTTAAAAGTATTTTCTTTTCTTTTTCTATTACATATAAGGGCATTTTTTTATATTTTACTAATTTTTATTTTTCTTCTACCTATTTTTTAATTTTTTTTAAATCTTTTATATCAATTAATTTATTACATTATTCTCTCTTATACCTTGCAGTTTTTCATATTTCCTTAATCTCTCTCATCAATTTGTTTTTTTTTCAATCAATTTGATGAACACAAAGTTAATTTTTTTATTCTTTATCTTTTTCTAAATATTTTACATAAATCTTAATAATAACTAATATTATTTTATTTATAATTTATATTTATTAGATTTTATTATTACATTTGTTTATCTTATTATTCTTATTTATGATATATCAAATTTTATCTTAATAAAATAATTGTATTTTAAAGGATTAAAGGAATTGATAATTTAAACTTTTATTACTTTGAACTAATTGAATAATAATTAACTTATTAAATATTTCATTATAAACTATATATTTCATATTTTTAAATGACAACTTAAAAATGAATTAACTTATATATATAATCAAATGTTTGAATACAATATTATAATAATAATGATAATGTTATAAGTATTCAAATATTTGAATACAATATTATAATAATAATAATAATGTTATAAATAAAAAATGATTAAATATTTTTTTTACATACATATTTTAATATAAATATAATAAATTAAAATGTATATTTAATTAATAATTATTATAAATTATAAAATTATAAATATTTATTTATATATAAAAAATAGATAATAAAATTAATTTATTATAA